AACATTATAATTTGGGATGCATTAACTTCTTCCTATTGAGGTCTAGGAGTCCTGACTTCAAAAGCTTTGAGCAGGAGAGGGAAACTTTTGCTGTGAGGGAGCAAGATGGATGTACTGCTGAGATTGTAGCAGTTTCTCACTATTAAGGGGTGGTTATGAGCTTGCAGTAAAAAGACGGTGGTCTGAGAGGATATGGTTTTGCAGAGCCCTATTAATCCCTGTTACAACTGCTGGCGAACACATAAAGGAGTTTCAGAGATCGCTTTTCCTTTTTAGGTCCATCACTGACCAGGAACTGCTGCTGCCTGGGCAACCGCTCCCTGCCTTGCACTCCCAGAAATAGGGGGCTGATCCCAGGAAGCCAGTGATGCCCGAAGAAATGATTTTCATGAATTTCTTTGGAGTCAGGACCTAGTAATCTGAGACAGGAGGACATAACTGGCAGCCTGCTGACTGAATTTGGCTTATAGGACAACTCCAGCTGGGCCACTGCCTCTCCCTACGCCAACAGGCAACTCTCCTTTGCTTTGCTTGCAGGGTGTCAGGAGTTTTGGCCCACAAGTCCTTCTTGTTCCTCTGCTCCTCCTGTCCTTCATGAAAGGGGTCCCACTGAAGCAATGAGATAGCCCTTTTCCATGCCCCTGAAGTCAATCAAAATAATTCCTACTGAGTCATGACCCCAGTTAAACTGTGTTCATGCCCTGGAACCCCAGGGAGCTGTACGTGCTTTGGAGCGATGGCCTGCACAGGGCCTGATTCATGCTCTTGGCTTCATACCTTTTCGTAGCAGAAGAAAAGGGCATTGATGATGCACAAATAATTGAGCACTCCTGCAGCTATGCTGTGTACTTATTGAGCAAACACATCGCAGGCAGCAATTGGGAAATCATGAGCAGGAGTGTGGACTGGAAAGCAAAACCAAACATCTGTACCCTCACCAGTGAAACTACATGGAAAACCTGGGAGGGTATCACAAATGTTTATCACGTGGCTAACAAGGTCTAGAAAATTTTGGCACAGTTCTTAAAAAAGATGAAAGCATTTTTAAAACAAAACTATTGTCAGCCTCAGATGTCATGTTACGTTTAAACCGTAAAGAAATTTCTAAGCTGTCATGAGCTAAACAGTTAGAAGCAGGCCAACGAGTTGGCAAACACGGCTGCAGCTTTTGTTTAAAAACCCGGGTAGTCCTTAAGGAGAAGTGGAGTTGAGTCAACAGAGCCGTAGGAGACTGGACAGACTCCTGCAGTGAGCGGTGCCGAAAACAGGGACTCCCGCACCCCGTTTTGACTAGCACTTTTAGCCACCCTTAGGACTAGACTTGTTGGCTGCCCACCATCTTCAGGCAGAAGCAGTGGTGCGCTCCAGGGCACAGGCTGAGGCTGTTCAGGGTCGGGCAGGTGGGCTGGGAGGGGGTGGCTGCGCTCAGGCACGCTTCTCCCATCCACCTCCAGCCCTGAGGCCTCGGTGGGCAGCGAGGGAGGTCGGATCAGGAAGCACTGCGAAGGCCCCTCTGAAGAAGGGATTTGGAAGAGGATGAGCCTGGTAGTGCACAGGTATATAACAGAAAATGTTTTCAGCAAGGATAATCAAAACCTTATTTTTCCTACCTCATCGCTGTGGATCGTAAGCTTTTTGTTATGTGACTGTTCAGCCCTTAGGACAGAAGCACCCGCACCTCCATTGGAGATGTCTTGACACATTTGTAAGAGAAGTAAAAACAATAAATCAATAGGAGTCTCTCCACTGACTTCAGAGATCACTGGATTGGGCTTTCTCTGTCAATACTGATAAGGGATCTCTGCTCCTCAGATCACTCACGGCTACTGCCATTGAAACAAATTGGCTGCAACATCACCATAAAATGACGCATATTGCTCTGCATCTTCCTATGAAATAATTGCTTGACAGCTTTACAGGGAACTCCCTTGGGGAAGAAAATAGTAAAGGGATGGTAAGTCACAGTAGTACTCCTCTGCTGTTCTTTGATACTGCCCAGCTAACTCATGTCAGAGATGGAAGTAAATGCAGGAAGAAGTAAAGTCAGCAGAAAAGTTTCAGTGGAATTTGCGATCACTAAATGCAGAAACTGGCTGCAAATCTTTCTCTATCTTAGCTTTTGTGCTTAACTGACATGTGTGTTAAATCAGTGTAATGAAAATCAGAGAGTGCTTGCTCTAAATGCTCACATAATCTCGGAGGAACTCATGAATTCATAGAGAGGAGCGTGGAGGAAGTGATGGTGGAAGGATTTGACTACTGTGCAGGTAGAGAGAAAGGGAAGGACTGAAATAAAATGTGGATCAGGAAAATCAGATCACCATGACAAATACAAATGAGCTCTGAAAGAGTTTTTGAGTAGAGTCTTTAAGAACTGTAACAAAGTTTGATATGTTTTGGGAACAAGATAATGAGATCAGGGAGTCAGTGCTAGCCTGGTCCCTACAGAGGATGGCATGCTTCTGATATGCATACAAAGTCCTTTCTCACAATATAGCAGCTCAGGCTCTTGTCTCTTTGAATCTCCTAACCTAATCCCTGTCATCCTGGGAATAGCTGGGTAGGAAAACCCAGCTGCTTTCTGAGGTGTTACCTGTGATTCAGCAAGTGGGTCAGTACTAAATCGATAATACGGCATTCATTTTTGTGCGAGTCCTTCACTGAGGCTTTTCTGGGTGAGTGGTGATGGGCTGAATCTGATGACTCCCAGCTCAGCTCCATGGTAGGAATCTGCACTTGGCCTGAAAGCTAAAAGCAGTCGGTGTGATGACAATAAGCATGACAGCACTGAAGCAAGATGCCATAGACACCTTTTCCATGGCTCAGGGAATATTTGAGATGTAAGCCATCTGCATATGTAGCGGTACTCTCCAGTCTGAGACTGTTTCCACTGAAAGGGCATCTAAAAGAGATAAAAATGAATTGTCATCATTATGGACTGGATTTCTGCCAGCTGCTTACTAATTAGAGTTTTAATTGCCCGGTAATAAAAGTTTTAATTAGTCAGCAATTAGTGCTTGAAGTTTCAAGTGCTTCATATGCATTCAGTTGCATTCTGGAATTGCCAAGAGCGAAAGATGGAATAGCTCCAGTGTGTCTCAGCAAAGCTCTGAGCAAGAGGGGTGAACATCAGTGATGGAGGAGCAGCAGAAAATGGGCATAGCCCCAGTTGCCAGTGGTCAGCTGGGCAAACACTCTCACAGAGCAGAACCTTTAGGCAGCTTGTGACCTTTCCCAAACTCACCACTTCCTCGGCTGGGCCAGACAAGATGCTCGGGTGCTAAAGGCGTCATGCTGGGAAAAGGCTACTGCAGAGACCAAGTCCTTTCCAACACCTCTGTTCTTTTACTTGGTGCATTCATTCCTTCAGGCTTTTAGTCACATACCCTGCAAGTGCTGTTTGGTTATTTAAAAAAGTTTTAATCTAAACTTACATGAGTCCAATAGGAAGCACCTAGCTCTGTACGTGTCTTACCAAAATGCCTGAAACCCATCCCTGCAGGATGCATTTACAGTTAGTAATATCCAGCTGCAGTATGTTTATTGCAACTCAACAAACTATTTTACCTATATTATATCCCCTAGCTAATTCAAGGCAAAAATACCCTTTGCTGGGTCAAGCATGAATTACTTCATACCTAGTATTATCCCAATTAATTTTCCTTATGCTAGATAGTAAAGGTCCTGATTAACACAATCTCTGAGGGCCTGGTTTCTTTCTCCTTGCATTACTTGAACTTAACAAGTCAAACTTTAACAAAGTCAACAGTTGGCAAAGGCCCAGGGAACAGGACTGCATTTCGGCTACAGAGTCTATGCCTTTCAAAGGGTGGGTTTTTACCCTTTTTTTAACTGGTTTCCAAATTTATCTATTGGTAAACAACAGTTAAAGTTGAGAAGTGAAGTTTATGAGGAAATGCACCAATAATCACATAAGCACAGCTTTAAAAAAAAATTCCTGTTCCTGAGTATTAGAAAAAATCCAACAAATCCAAACTGTGGTTACCTAAACATCAACTTCTAAATCATATACACATAACGTTAAACAAAACAGGGTTTTCCCCCCTCTGCTCTGAAAGGAACTGACACCTTTTAATAGTACCTAGATACCTGGTTATTAACCTAGTTAATAACTCAAAGCATTTAGGTGGTCTGTAATGTAGCATCAGATGTTTTCTATACTCCGGACTGTACAGGTCATTGATTCCACAAATGCTCTACATCACTGGGGTACTGAGTTCAGGGGCTATACATGTGTTTTCTGTCTCATTTCCCTGAGACAATATCTGTAGTATATTTACAGTGGTGAATAAATACCTGATCATAGCAGACTTTGTTGTTTCTAGCTATTACACTGTGAAGCATTAAAGTCATAATAAATTGGGATTCACCTCATTGAATGTAGTTGTCTTGTCTCAGCTGGTAACAGGCTCAATGAATATACATAGGCATCTCCAAAGCGTGAGTCACTCCTTCCAGACATATATGCCCAGGACAGATGAGGTGATCTACTCTCTGGAGGAACTGTCTCTATCAACTAAGGAGAGATCAACTTTTAGACAGCTGAAACCAAGAGAAATGCAGGGTCTGAGAATTGTGTCAGTAGGAGAATGGCCTGAAGAAAGTAGGCTGTGTTGAGGGTCAGTATTGATTTCCCCTTGCAGAGCCAGGAGAAGAACATGTATTTCAGGCAGTGTTGATGTTGCAGTTATCATTATTATTCCTTACACTGTGGCCGCATCTCAGAGTCCCAGGTTTGGATTATAAACGACTCTGTGTTAGTTGCTGTATAGATACAGGACAAACAGCTAACCTCCATCCCTAGTAGAGTGTAGTCAAAGCAGTTCATGCTGCCCATTTTATTTACAATGAGAAGTCATGCTGTACAGTAAGTCTTTGCAACAGACAGTTCTTCGGTTGAATCTACTATTGAAAAGTGCTTCCTCTTTTCAGTGTTTGCCACCCTAAAGAATCTCTCTTTTCCCATTATTATTTTCCAGCTATGCTTTTCCCAGCTGCTCAGCGATTCAAGAGGTCCTCAGCTGCCTTCCTTAACCCAGTGCTACAAAACTCGCTGGAAGATGTGGTCCTGCTTTATGAGGTTCAGTATATGAGAGCAGATGGTACCTTAAGCCCTAACCAAGACTGGGGTTACTGTCCATACTGGGGTTATCCATTATCTGTCTTCAAGTCACTTTGACTCATCCCAGCAGTAAATCCATTGCTGACTGTGTAATAACTCACCAGAAGGGAGGGAACAGACATATATATGTGACAAACTCGGCTCTTTTAGCACTTAAGCAGGAAGCAGTTGCCTGCAGTACCTCAAATATGGGTTCTAGCTCATTGACAGGCAAAGTGAAAAGCAGAGCAAATGGCTTTCCACTGAAAGCAACTTTCTTCAGAACAGTTACCTATTAACAACACAATGCATTTAAATTCCTTGATCTAAGTCTCAGTCCCAAATTATTTGTTCAAATCAATAAAGCCATGACTATCAGTCATTGCAAAGTAATCCCAAGGGCATGACTGTTTCACTTCAAAATGATTCAGGTCCGCTCTTTCACAGCAGTGGAGACTGCAGATGTAATGCACAGTCTGGAACAGTGTCATATGGTTAGCTAAGGGAAAGTGGCCCACCTGAAGAAGGTGCATGGGTCAAATCTACCTATCCCACACCTTGAGACACTGAGATTGGATGTCCAAACAGGAGAGATGGTCTGGGAAGCCACTGCTGTGCTCTCTCACACAGAGCTAGGCCACCACTGCTATCCCTGGCAGGGTAAACGGCCTTTCCCAGCTGTGCTGCTGTCTCCACCTCTCTAATCCCCGTGTGGCACCAGCAGCAACCCATGCCTCTTTTGGACAACAGAAGACTACCTGCTTTTTCCTCTCTCCTTTCCCCACAGCCTGTCACTAGTTTTCCCAGGTAGGTAACACAGGAGGCCAACATTCATATAGAGACTTTCTGGTCTACCCCACCTCCAGCCAGTGCAATGAGAGTTTTGTCTCCATTTGAACTAAAATAAAGACCTAAAGACGTGTTAATTCACATTTACTCTGCCTAGAGTCTCTTGGAGAAGATAAATAGCTTTCTGTGTTCTGATTTTGTACCAGTTTCTTTTAGCTGAGCTTGACATTGACAAAGGTCAGAGGATCTCCATCAAAGATGAGGAGCTCGCTTCACTGAGGAAGGCTGCTGAGTTTAACACCATCTGCAACGAGATTATCCCCAAGAGCATCACAGAGATCCGCAGGCTGACTAGCAGGCTGTCTTCCTACCCAGGGGTCCTCAAGAAAGAAGACTTTGAAAGGACAGTGCTGACCATGGTCTACACGGCCTACAGGGCTGCTCAGTCCCAGGGGCACCAGAAAGACGCTTGGGCTGAATCCTTTGTCAATCTTTACAAAGCCCTGAAGCACGACTTGATGTTCCCATACAACAAAGAGCCATCATAGTGGGAGACTTGATGCAACGGCAACTCAGCCACCTCTTCTGGTTGATAAGGGACACATGTAGCACGTACTCCACTTTGTTCTGTAAAGAGTTTAATAGCCTGCTTCATGAAAGATTATTTGTTTTCTAGCTCCCTCTTGTGGAATCCACTTTATAGTTCCATGTTAAATGGTGAAAAATGTTATCTTCAGTCCTGGGAATTCAATATTTGTGATGGCTTGGAGGCACATTCTGTGACAAGCAAAGAAGGCAGTCTGGTGTACACCCCAGACAGACACGCCCTTGTTTCATCCTGTGGGTTTCCTATAAACAATACATAAGTATACTATGCTTATGCTCACATACCTATGTGTATGTGCTGGAGAATGCTGCTTTCCTACAAGTTCATATTTTGGCTGGCCAGTAAAAGAATATTATAAAGAGGTGTAAAGGCTCTTGTAAAAGGAAGAGGTTTCATAACTGTCAGCCTTCAGAAATTAAGCCAAATATTCTTCATTCCAAATATTCTGTAAATAAGCACTGTCTGATTCACTTCATTTGGCTGACCCAGTTTTTAATTGCAATAACATTTGCAGAAGACAAAGGGCATTGTGAACACCAGCAGCAAACAATGCCTGTGAACATATTCCCCGCTTCCTAGAGCCGCCCTCCCAAACAGTCTGCAATGATTCTTTCGTTATTTGCACAAGACACTGCTTCTGCTCCTTGTTTTTTGAAGGGAACATGGATTTGTCCTCAGTGGAGTCAAAGGCAAGACAAAGGCCCTGTTTAATTTAATGATGACACATTTTTCCTGGTTCTATCACTTGAACGTAGGTCATCTAAACCCGTGCTTCAGAATCCCCCTGAGGCAAGGGAGGAAGGTGCATTAAATACCTGGTGCTGAATTTAGCAATGATGTGGCTCATTTTTGGTGGTAAATTATATATTCACTTGTGTATATGTGTGTGTGTGTTCATACATGTGTGTGCACGTAAGTGCTGAGTACATGGAAGAATCCTAAATTGTTCAGTCAGGGAACAATTGCATCCGACCACTTAGCAGAAAAGGCTATTCACCAATCCAATGGTGGGAATTATGAATTTGGGAGCAGTGGAAAAGCAGTACTTTTTTACAGTAAAAATTGTTTGTAGTACTAGTGCAACTGATTACTATAAACTGCAAAAAAATCATGGTCAGAAAATGGACAGAAAAAGGAGATATATCTTGTTAGACAGATAACTAGCAATGAAAAATCCAAACTTTTCTAAAGCAAATCCCCTAATTTTTGTGAACAAGTTATACCAACTCTGTTTCTCTATTGACATTAGAGGTGCTTCTACTTCCAGACCATGGCAAAACAGCTGAACGTTTATTTCATCCTTTCATACCAGCACTCTCTCTCTCTCTATTTGCATAATATCTTAAGGAGACAGGCCCAAATCACAAATCCCTGAGGCTGTAAAAGAGAATTGAGGATTCCAGCCCCAGTTCTGTATCACGTTTAACTGCTTTTGCATCACTTGAGCAAAAGGAATGAACTCTTCTGTGTCCCTTAACAGGGATACTCCAAGGTCTGGAGCTTAAAAAATCCATCCAGCACCGCCTTGTTGCAGCAAACAGCAAATAGTGCAAGCAGTCAGAGCCCACTGGGTTTGGCAATCACCCGTGGGAAAGTGGAACCACAGCACCCTTAGGGGCAGGCTGGCAATGGCATAAGCAGCTGGACAAAGGGCTTATAAAAGACAGAGTCAGTCCTGTTTCTCCCAGCAGCTTCTGTACGTGTACGCATGAGTGTGCATGTTTGCGTTTAGACTCACATATGTGTAGGTGCACTTTTATACCTGAAGATCTTTGTTGGCCACCTTCAAAGCCTGGCTGGCATATGGCAAAGGAAACTGAAAACCTTAACCACAAAGCTATGAGCCGCAAATATCTCCATCTCCTCTACTTGCACGCACAGCTCAGCGTCCACAAAGCAGCCTTGCGCTACAGCCCACGTGCCCTTTAAGGCTTCAGCATAAACACTGACGATCTGCTTGTGTTTTCTTCCCACACCATGCTTTATAAACACATGGAGGGGAAATGCCATGGAGCGCACTCCTGCCTTTCCAGCTCTGCTTCTTGGCTCCCTGAAGCACCACTTGCCGGAAGAGCCTGGAACCAGGGCAATTCATAAATCCCTTACAGCCAGTGACTCCAAGTCTGCAAAGATAACAAGAAAGAGCACCACAGCAAGTATTAATTGCTAGCAGTCACCATCCAGAGAAATACCTCCCAGCCACTCTCCTCACCCCACAACAGGACTGTCCAGCAGTCAGAGTCTACTCATCAGTAAGTATCCCATAGAAAAGAATTACAGATAATTTTGAATATCCGATCATTCCCTATGACATACATACCTTACTGTACCTTACAGATTGGTAATTGAAACCTTTATCTTCCCAACAGAAAATGAAGTTTTTCTGAGTTTGTTTCCTTCCTCCCATTACTGTGTGTAGTGTAGGAAAAAGATTTATTCCTTGGGAATGTGCTTCGACTGCCCAGGTTAATTTAACAGAGACTGTCAATGTAATAATAAAAATATTCTACATAAAACTAATTGGTTTTGCACTGTATTGATTTTAGCAGCAGATTTACTATTTACCAACTTGCAGCTTGAGTAATTGGTTATCTCGGACTGTGAAACTCTTCACGGGAGCAACAGTACAGGAGAGAAGAGGGAACAGCCCTTCCCTCTGACTGGCAGAAGGAGGTAATAAATAGGAACAAGAGTGCCTACTTTTTCCAGGGTTCAAGTGGGAAGGAGCACTCTACCTCAGGGCAGCTCTTTGGGCTTAGGGCAGCTTCCCTCCCACAGTATTGATTAAGATGGAGGCATTGGTTGCCTGCTCCCCAGCTCAGTTTGCATCTCATCACCTCAGACTGAGTCATGATTATAGGCAGTCCTTCCCTCACAGAGTGAAGAGCCATTGCCTCTAAACGGCATCTTTTATACACCCTTTGACCTTACAAATCATAAAAAAGTGAAATAAAGCATAGATTTTTTTCATTTGAAATAAAAAGTTTTTTAATTTTTTGAGTATTTTAGACATTCTTTTAGTTTCTTTGAAACAACTGACAAAACAGATATAAATTCCCTGGCTGTATTGGCCAACCCAAAATCTTCACATTAACTATACTTTTGCTTCCAGAACTAATTGCTAAATATGCCTGAAGGGTTTCAAGGTTCTGTTGCTTGATGGAAGTTTCAAGGTATAGAAACATTATACAGTCTTAGATACAATTACTAATTTCAGGAAGAATTCGCCCTGCACAACAAACTCCTCTGCAGGTCTGCCTTTGCCAGTTCTCCAGGACTCAGTGTCAAGAGGCATCCCAGTTCAGCCTGGGGAGCTCCATTTGCGTCTGACTAGCAGAGTGTGGGGAGACGATAGGCAAGCAAGGTTTCGGAGCATAGAAAATCCTAGGTGTGTGGCTTCCTATGAGATACAGGGCAAATGGATGTCCATCTACAGGTTGTGCATGCAACCAGCCAATGGATTCAGTCCCAAATCTCCAGTACTTTCTGCTCCACAAAAAGCATTAATAATGGCAGAGTTGTAGAAATGTTTCTCCACTAGAAGACTAAGGTAGAAAGCCTAAAAATTCTCAGTTTGAGTCTGAATCTTACTGTTATTGAGGGCACATGAATCAGTACAGAGATCAGCCCATGCCTTATGAATAAGTGATGTTCATGGATCAGGGTGGAAGAAACAGGAAAGGCAAAAGATACCATCTAGAAAACAATGATTATTTATTTATCATCAGTACTGGGACCTTGAGACAATAACGACTGTTCAGCAACTAAAAAAGGTCTTTTTGTCCATTTGTGTGCATGTCAGAAAGAGCAGGCTGCTGATTTTCTCAAATGTTCTGACTGGGTTTGGATAATGGGTGGAGCAACTCCTACCTTCCACAGTCCTCATTGGTGAATTAGAGTTGCATGAAGCTTTTTAACGAGTTTTTATCTTGAGACCAAGTATAATCTGTGTTGGAATTGCTGCCCTGTGAATTCCAAGCTCAGGGCAAAAGTAGGGTAAAGGTAGATACAAAGTAGAAGCCGAAACTATAGCAAAGAGACAAAATCTGGAGGAGCTGCAGGTTTAATTTTTTTTTTTTTTTTTTAAGAAGAAATACCTGCAAGTTTGTTTCTGTGCACTGAACAATAGGGTTTTGGTTTTAATAATTTTCCAGCAGAAAACAAACGTGTATTTGAGACATTCAGAGTATCAAACAGGAGGAAAAGCAGCAGCCTGAAACATATCTCACCTGGTTAATGAAAACAGGAATTACATTGCTGGATGATGGAAGAAAAAAATCTTTCAAAACATGGGGATAAGAATGCAACACAGCTACACCTGTGATTCTGAATTAAAAAGAAAAATTGTCAAAAGATCACTATGCTCCAACTTGCAAACTTCTGCATGTTATGGTGTGATAATAATTTGGATGTACTTAAACTGAATGTCTTTTTAATAGAAAAATCATTAAGGTTTCTTTTGAAAACAGCAAATTGAAGAATAAACAAATTAAGAAAGCTATTTATTTTAGGTGACTGGGTGGGAATAGGAAATGAGGCAGTGAGAGACCTTTCAGGGAAATCCAGGCACAGGTGAAGGAAAACGTGGAGTGGAAGTTGGAGTATCTGAGGAACCGAAGAAACCCAAGGAGAAGAAAGCCACCAGAAAGTAAAAGACTATGGCAATGATGAAGGAGATTCTCCGATCCAGAAATCTCTTGCTCGTTGTTGTCATTCCACTTCTGCTGCTTCCTCTGCCACTCTTATACCCCAGCAGTGTAAGTACATTTTCATTTTCTTTTTAACAAAGCCTCTGAGTGCAGTAGGTAGTCATGCTGGATAAGTCTGCAGTGTGCAAAAAGAAAGGCAAAGACCTAGATAAGCATTGCTCTTGGAAAAATCAAGGACTCAAATTTAAAGGACTGGGAAGGTCAGAGAGAAGTCATCACAGTAAGAACTAGAGCTACCTCGAGTCATGTCACAAGCAGAGCTGACGAACCTGGTGAAGCTAGTAAAGCACTATTTTAAAGCAGAAATACTGTATCTCTTCTTTTTCTACAATAATGTGTGTGTAGAAGGGGGAATAGAATAAACATACCCAATAAAGTTCCTTTAAAAGGAATACTTTTAGTGTCTTTAGTTTTTAATAAGTATGCATGGAGGGACTTTCAATTTAGTGTGGGTTTATAGGACAGCAATTCAAGTGAGGCAGGAGCTAAGACTCGGTGATAGACATGTAGGACCGTATATGGCATCCATTATCCTAAAGCAGTTGTAGGCACCTCTACTGAAACATTGCAGCTCTGGAAGTGGCTAATAAATGATGGCTCAGAGACATACTCAACAATACAAAGGAGGGAATAGTCTGTGCTTAACACGCAGACCAGGGAATGGGAGCGAATGCAGCTGCATTCCTGACACTCTTTTGGAGCTCCTGAGTAGCCTTGGCTATGTGGTTAACTCTTCTCTGTGCATGTCTCTGCAGTTGTAAACCATAAACCCCCAATGTTTTCCTACCTTATAGAGATGGTGATGTTTAACGTATCAAAATTTGCAATGTATTAAAAATTCTGCAGCTGGTGCTTCCATAGTGCTAGGCATAAATCTGGGCAAATAGTTCAGCAATTTCCATTCCTTCCTCTACCCTGCTAAAGATTAATTCTTCCTTCCAGAAGATTTATGAATACTACTACTTTATCAAATAGAAATGCAAAGGATTAGAAATGGTATAGCAGTTTTCAAAAATAAAACTGTAGTATTTTGTTTGGAAAGAAAAACAGGATTAATAGAAAGGAAATGTTCCTACACCACTGAAGCGTATGTTGCACTTTGAATAGTTTTCCTGCTCTGAACTTCAATGTATATCTCGGCTGCCCTCTTATAGTAGTTTTCCATCTCTTCTCTCGAGAGAGAGGGAATGAAGGAGCACAATCATGCTCCTTCAGAGAACAGCAGGGCTCACCATTTCACAGAGGCTTGTTTTAAAAAAGGGTTTAATGTCCCCCAATGTCACTGGAAGGGCAACATAAGAACAGATACTCCCTGACATGTTGCTCTCTTGCCCTTGAGAACCTCTCCTAGGAAACATGAGATTCACCGCACTAAACTTTGTCACTCATATTTGCTCCCTACCAGATTCAGAGGCACAGGATGCAATAAGGAAACTCTTTAATAACCAAGGGAATTGTAATAGCATCGTACGGGTGCTGAAACAGTAGTTCACTGACAATATTGATGCAAGAATTGGTATTATACAGTACAAGCTCCTCTGTGCTATTACTCATGGTGTTGCCTTACTGCAAAGTGATATGAAAAGCCATCAGATGATGTTTTACACCCACCTTATTTATACATGAATGACCACAGATGGTGAAGTATAGCCGTGAATCTGACCCAGAGTTGGAAAAATGTTTATAATGCTATTAAGAAAACATCTACACCAAATAAACTCAGTTGACAATACACCATTCAAGTGGTTTAGTGTAGTACTTACTTTGTTACAATCCATTGACTATGATTACTTCCTAAACCTGAAGATTAAATTTGTCACCTGCTGACTTACTTATATTTTCATTTATCAGACAATTATATGAGTTTTCTGTCTTTCTTATAGAGATCAGAATTACCAGGTGGTTTATATTTGCATTTCTGCAGGGAATCAGCTTGCAACTTCTTTGATGATATCAGCACAACTCTGGAAATGTCAAAGAAGCATTACATGTGCAGTGGCAAGAGTGATCAAAGGGAGCACGAGGACTCAGAACTGTTTGTAGATATGGCTTATGGGAATAATGTCCACAGCTTCTTTTCTATTATTTTGTGACAAGAAATAGTTGGGTAAAAAATAAACCCGAGCAAATTTGCTTGAATTCTTCTTCCCTTTCCAAAATTTATACCTGACCTATGACTTGTACAGCAGGTTTCGGACATGCATAAGGGCTTTTCAGGTCATGACACATACAGAAAAAAACATTGTGTGCTTTACAAACTGTGAGTCTTTTTCATTCTGCCCTTATTTCCTTCGTTGTTAACAGTGACATGGGAGCATTTTTGCCTCTTTTTTTTCATCTTTATCCACTTTTTTTCATAAAGCCACCGGTGATACCATAAAGCAAGCCACATGAATTCAGTCAGTTGTGGGCAGGGTCTCCTATGACCACTGATCCTGTGGCCACACTGAACCCAATCAAGGACACATGGATGGCTCCTCAAAAGTCAGCAAGAGTTGCTGTAAGCTGTGAGACCTGCGGCATCAGGTGGTGTTGACACCTTGACATGCCAAATCAGCAGAATGGACCGTAAAGCACAGAACATGCTCTGAACAGCCATGGAAGGCACACTTTCGTTCACCTTTGTTTTTATTTACACAAGCTGAAGGGAGGGAATTATAGTATGATCCCATCAGCTCAAAGATAGTAGTCCAGAGGCTAGACTACCTCTTCTTTGCACAGCTTAACCACACGCCTGCATGCAAGATATGCAATGAACACCCTTAAGTGGGAAAATCTCCAACACAGAGTTTATTCTTCTTTTTAATCACTCTGAGATCCTCAGATGTTTTAGTTGCAAAAGTTTTATGCATGACCCTTATTGTGGAATTTTTAGCCATGGCGTCCTTTCAGCTCCTCTTTTCTTTTCCCCTAAGGGACTGACTAAAGATAGGTGGCAGTCCCTCCAACCATCACATGTTTTCTTATTCCCTGCTTCAAGCCCTGAGGTGGGCTTAACAGTAATTTTCAGCTGTACAACAAGAAGTGAGAAGGGTGAAACAGTTAAAATCATAGAGCCACTACTTCAGTCCAGTACTTAGTAGCTCTGGTAACCATTAATTAAATATATAAATTCAGTTCAAATAAATACAAGACATTAATATGGCTTCTCTTGGAAATGAGCTGGTTTAAAGCACTGAGAAAATAAATAGAGAAAGTTGCTAGACAAGCTGATTAAGTTTTTAGTGGAGATTATCAGACTTGGCTTTCCTAGTATTTGCTACCCAGTTATATACCATTTAAAAATGTGCTTTATTTTAGTTTTGTTTGTAAACTGATTACATCCTAGTGTATAGGAAACACAAAGACTCAGTGCCCATCCCAGCTAGGTTTTGATAGAGTTTGTCCTATACCATTTCCACTATCAGTCTACTTTATTGCTACACACAGAGGAGCAATAGAAAATAACAAACTATGCTCAAAGAAAATGAAGAAGAGTATATTTCTGGAGTGAGAAAATAGTTTGGAATCAGGTTAGGATGACATTAATTTTATGAATTTTGGCAAAACATATATCTCGGATCTTACATCTGTACCACTTTAAAATAAAAATCAATGTTTTTTCATTAAAAGGCACTTTTCTCCTCAGACAACTGCCGGATGTCATACAGAGCCCATGCAAACATAGTAGTTTTTTAGCAGAAACTATTGAGTTAAAAATAAAAAATGTGTCAAATAGTAACTAGGTCACAGAAATGTCCCTATGCTCTGCTCTCTATGGAATATTAACCATGAAGTATAATGTAGTTAAAGGTGACTGAGCAGCAAGCTGGCTAATGTTTATGAGCCAATCCATCAGCTCTGTGACTCTCATCTAAAATAGTTTTGTCTTCCTAGTAGAAATTACTAAAAATCTCTAATGCTTGTTATCTGACTTTTTAAATTATTTCCATTTTTAAGTCCAAGTTATTTGTTTCATTTTTTACTGATCACTTGAAGTTGTTACAAACTGAACACCAGTCTTTGGAGTTTCAAACAGCATAGCAATTCCATTTCATAAAATGCATGCTCCATAATCCCTGAATATTAAAAAAAACCCCCTCTGATCTCATCCATTCTGAGCCAACCTTCTCTATCCTCTCTTATTGTTTTTTTCTTGGTAGCAATGAAGCTACAACTGCAATAGAATCTTTTATTGTAATATTTTGCTGAAGGACCTGAACATAAAGGACCAGTGAAACCTGTATTGGAGAGCTTAAAACCTAAAACACTCTTCTATAATAGTTAAGGAAGAGAAACAAATATGCATGTTTCTATATGGTTCAGAAGTTCAAATGTGCTTGTCCATCCATAAAGGAACAATCCAGAGTGAAATTTCTCCAATAGCCTTTCAGATACTCTTTATAGTCTCTAAAGTAATTGGAGTGTATCTGATTCAAAGAAATTATTTCTTTGAATAACCTTGTTTCAGATATTATGGTGGCCCTGCTCACTTGAATCAGAATTTTTAATGTTACACTTTTCTGAAATAGGAGTCAGAACAAAGTCTGGTAGCTAATTTAAACCCAAGATTCTGAGTAAGCTTGGCTGCACTTTTTAAGCAGTAAAGGAAATGACACATAGCAATCTATTTTAACTTTTTCTCTGGGCTGTGTTCTGCCTGTTATTACTATACGCTGTACTAAAAAAGAGGAACAGCTGAACATGGCTCTTTGTTAGGGGTAATGTAAAAAGGACATGTATAAACATGAATTTAAATACAAGCTATTGATTCATTCCAGGGAATCCATATCCCTGTATAGTCTTACTTTAAACTTTACCATCACAAAACTGATAGCAAAAATGATGAAGTGTCATATACGCTCATTGATTTGCACAAGGATCTGTGCAAATTGCTTGTGTGACTTCTTGAAAGCTGCTTAATTTGGGAATCATCCGGTCAGGAAACAAAAGTAATGAAATGATATTTTAACACACTCAAATAGTATTTGTGAACAGTGAATTTTCTAAATAATAGCCATCATGAGCTGTGAATCCATACAGCTTGATAAGTTCATACAGAACATCCAGTGAACAATGAAGAACAGGTAGATTTATGGCTGATGTAAATCAGTGCAGACCTACTAGCTTCCACAGAACTGCCAGTTAGACCCAGTATAGGATCTTGGCTCAAATTTGAGAAAAGGAAAGGAAAAACATTTTCCTGAGGGTAATTTCTGAATTATTAGCAGGAAATATCCCCAGGTTTCTAAGCATAACTGAGCCTAAGGAGAACTCCACTGAATGCCATAAATAAAGACATAGCTATCTAAAAAATGGACCAGAATACTTTCTGGACTAGCTGTGTTTTCATGTAAAAATATTCAGCAGATAGCACCTTTCTCCATCATACAACAGCTCTTCATGAATGCTCAGCACGACGTTGTCGTGGCTTTCTTTACCAGAACCTTGGACAGCAGCAAATTTGTTTCATTAACTCTGTTACCCATTGCCTCTAAGCTCTTCGTGTCTGTGGTATTCTCCCAAAGGTCTGTAGAAATCACCTGAGAAAATAAAATCAACTGACAAAAAATGTAGGTTTGCACACTGTTTAAAAAAAACAATCTTTCAGAGCATTTCCCAAAAGAGCCACAATGTGGTTTTATCCATGCTATGACAAATGTGAACGTTCTCATCTGATCCTGAAAACTACAGGTTCCTGTTCTTGTCCAATATTGGAGAGATAGCTGTGTAGAAATACCAGCTCCACCAGCCCAATCTGAGCAGTCATGGTTGAACGTTTGGTAAATATTGGACTATGAAATCCAAACAAATCTGTAAATGTACTTGGAACCATTATTTTGCTGACAAATACATTTATCCCAATGTTTTGCCCCAGCTTATGTGCAAAAGCTTTCATTAGCATCATCTTCGAGCTGGCCTTTTCGATGGTAGCCTAGATCCAGACCCAAACAGCTATGCCTTAGGAGGTCCTTATGGAGTCCTTGTTGAGTCTGATGAGTCCTATGAACATGTTCACAAAGGCTTCCACAGCAGGTGGTGTGGCAGCAACATGTAACCTCCATGCTTTCTCCCTACAGGAAGCCTCATGTGCCTACGTGCTGGTCGTGACGGCTGTATACTGGGTCTCTGAAGCAGTACCTCTTGGTGCAGCAGCCTTAGTTCCTGCTTTCCTATACCCACTTTTTGGAGTCATGAAGTCCAGTGAGGTCAGACCAGTGTGCACCTTTTTATCATTTAATCTTCTTACTCTCGGTTAATCATTTGAATAAAACTAATCTTAGTGGACTAGCAAGACTAAGAGGTGTGGGAGGAAGAAGTGTACATCTTGTAATGTGTAACTTGGGCCAACCAGCTCTTTCTTCTACTGAAAATAGATATAGGAATGGCTATATTAGCCAAGAGGTGTTTGTCCTGTCAGCTACTGCATCACCAACAATTCCCAAAACCTATTGCATCAAAGGATCCCACCATTCCCCTCCTCCAAAACCATGTAAACAGCAGTTATGGGATAAACTGTAAAGTTTCCTTCCAATTATATTTACTATTATATTTATTATAGATTATGTATATCATCTATAATAAATATGCCTATACAGTTACCATTTTCTGTATAAGACTAGAGAATTTTCTTATCCAGGTGAATGTCTAGTCCTTTTTCCAATCTGTAACCTTAGTGCTGCCTTGTAGCCATGAGTTCTAGGGTAAAGGAGTAGATGTACAAAAAAATCTCTTTGATCAGTTCTGAATTTGCTTACTTGAGTTTTTAGTGAATGTTGTTTTCTTTCATCATATACCAAGAATTTATTTTATTTCATCTACAGCTTCTTTTTTCCTGCTTTTTTCTCTCTCTTCTTTGGGGGTGAGAGGGCATCACTCTTGATTTATAAGGACTAGAAATACAGATAAGAACACAGAAGAATATATAGCAACCATAAAATTGTTGAATTTCTAACACAGTCTGGCACTGGGCATGCCCATAAATGGATGGAGTCAAGCATGAACCAAGAGTTTTATGACCTGCCTTATTCCTCCCAATGGTGTAACAACTGTGTAATATAATCAGGTACATTTCCATACCAACACAGTTAAATATTTTCAGGATTTTTTTTCCTAACATAAAGGTAAAGTAGTTACGCATTTTCATTACAAAATTCTGCAGCATATTGGAGAAGGAAAATTTAAGGGCAGACTGACAGAAATTCAATGTAATATCAAATTAAATGACGGTGGGATTACTGCAGAGAAAGTATTATTTGCTTTAGGAAAAGAAATAAACCCCTGTATTGTAAAAAAACCAACTCTGATGATGCTGCAGTATTTCCAGTCTGCTGTTCTGGAGTGCCATAGAAACCCAGGGCTCTTGCCTAGCAGTTTAAGCTACAAATAACTCACAGGGGCTTAAGAACATGAGCCAGTGTGTCGTATACGTGTACGTGTGTATTTATAAGAATATTAGTATTCACTTGTTTCTCCAAAATGACTGTGAAAGGAATAAAGGAAAACAACAGATTCTTTGTGCTGCTGGCTTGATGGATTCCTTTCATTCAGTTCAAGATCTTTTTTAACAAGGTAGCAGGAAAATAAAGAAAGTTAATGAGAAAGAAACCAGTGGAAGAAAGCCAAAAAAGTGATATTTAAAAGTTCTGGCACACAACTATGATGGCCAAGTCTATTCAGGTCACCATGGGGATTTGTTAAATAAATATAATTAAATACTTAGCTTGCTGCAGCTTTCACAAAATAACATTAGTGTCATTCTTGCACTTTTATGAAGGAGCATCAGTATAACTGAGGACAATGGAAAAAATACTGCTTCTACTGATTTTAATTGTTTTAAAATGCTGGCACCTACATTTAGTTAGAGGAATAGTTTTAAACCGAATAAACTATGTTTTTGGAAAATTATTCCAGCAACAGCTTGGGAAGGATTGCGTCAGAATGAGTGAAACATTTAGCTAGACTCCAAGCATCTGTTTATAAATTTTATTTTCTCCCATTGTGTTTGCTTTCACACAAGAGAGAGAGAGTGTGTGTGTGTGAATGTTTTGGTTTGCTTCATTTGTTATTTTTGCAGTCACTTCACAGAACATCTCATACCTTAGCAAGCCACACATTCAAGAATGCTGCTTTGGAGGACCATGCATGGTCTCTGAATTTTTTCCCGAGCCAGCTGATGATTTTTGCTCATCCCCTTTAAGTTAAAGTTCTCTTTTTTGAAACTTTGCCCTATTTTCCTGATACAATGGAGATGGATTTCCATTGTGAAAAGTTCTGGCACAGGGTTTGTGGATCATCACAGCAATATCCCAACCTTTCTTTATTGTGTGCAGAGAGTATGTCCCAAAGGACTTTTCCTGAAGCTGTAGGTTCTAGGGGTGCCACATTTTGCCCAACAGTTGAATAAGACATAAGAAATACGAACGAGACAGACAACGACTTCTCCAGAATGCAAAAGCAGATGAAGCACATGAATTAGCTGCCTTCAGTGCAGAGGTTTGTCCGTGGCTGTTTCAGTCTGGGCCTAGCTGAGTATGATTAACTGCAGGCAGTGAACATCCTGCTCAAAGAAGTAAAATTTCTCTTGATCTCTTCAAAGCTGAGAAACCTACTAACAAGTGGTATAGAGACTTGTTATTTGTAAACACAACATGAAAGAGATTAAAGAGAACGTTTTGACTTATGAATTATTCTTTTTCTCCAGCTCCCTGTCATTCTTTCTCTAAGGGGAAAAAATCCACAATACCATACTTCTTCTCATTCAGCGTGTAGGGTAGCTCTCTGTGTAGGGTAGCTGCTGCTTTTTTAACTGACTATTTCCCCCTTGCCCTTAATGCAGGTGGCTGCTGAATATTTCAAGAACACAACTTTGCTCCTCATGGGTGTGATTTGTGTGGCAGCTTCTGTAGAAAAGTGGAATCTCCACAAGCGAATCGCCCTGCGTATGGTCATGATGGCTGGAGCAAAGCCAGGGATGTGAGTGAACCTTTGACTTCAGGGTAGTCTGAAGCTGACAGCAGCACCCTGAAAGAGCAAATAACAACTCTGACTTTCCCATCCATGGGCAAAAGCTAGCTTGGTTTGGGGCTCTTTTTCCTACCCACCTTTCCTTTCAGAGTTCGAAAGCTTACAAATTTTCTCATGCTCTTTCCACCACCTCCTATTCCTTGGCTTGTTGTCCCTTTGCTTTCTATTTTTTACTCATACTGATTTTAGTCTCTCTGTTCCTTCTTTGCCTGTTGTTTAGCAAACACAAAAGGATGCTTAAATCCTGGATATGCTGAAAATCACTGTTTCTCATGTCACATGCTGATTTCCATGTGGCGCAGCAAACAGCTTCCAATGATACATTGTCTTATGACAGTTCTCAGCACAGGGCAGCATTTTATCTGTGCACAGCAGCAAGGTTTCCCTGTGTTGTACTCCAGGTTGCTTCTTTGCTTTATGTGTTGCACCACGGTGCTCTCCATGTGGCTTTCCAACACATCCACCACAGCCATGGTGATGCCAATCGTGGAGGCAGTGCTCCAGGAGCTAGTGAATGCTGAGGAGGAGCACGAGGTCATCAGTACTGCAGGCAGCACCATTATTGAAGAAAACGAGCCAATAGGTATTTGTCAATATTGGCCATTCTTTTCTCATTTGTTTGTCAGTGACCAGACTTGTTGATACACATTATTCGAATTCTATCGAAGTCAGAGCTGTCTGACTTGTACTGCCAAAGTCGTTGGTCCATACTCTTTCTTTTTGTACTCTGATATTTCATTCAAAAAAATAAAAGAAAGTTTCAAGTTGTGATGGGAGAACTGGAGTTGGGAAACTATTTATGTTGAATTAGGGCATGTACTGGAGTTTGTGTGTCATAAGCTCTTAGGTCATAGGATTTTACAGGGTTGGAAGGAAACCTCTGAGAAGAAAGTCAAAGAAACGTGGAAGAGGCCCAAAAGTGTGCTCTGTGACAATCCCACGCTTGCCCATTCTACCCCTTGCCCTACCCCCTGCCCAGGTCAGAGCAGGTGCCACAAAAAAAATATTTGTAAGAGCTCTAAGTTAATTTTGTTCATTCCTTCCCAGAAATAAAAGGTTTGGGAAGAAAAGAATCTCTCTTTTCTTTCAATTCACAGATTCCAGACTGAAAATGATGTCATCTAACATTGCCTATTATACGTAGGTATGATAGTCTTTTAATTGCCAGAGGCACATGATCAGGACAATATGACACAATAAAATGCTGCATAAGGGTCACAGAATAGCTGAGAGGGTTCAGAGGAGCTTTTGTTTGCAGTAGCTTCTCCATGTTCAGTGGTGTGGCCCAGGGGCTCAGCTCAGTTCTTACCCCATGGGCTGCTTTCTCTTCCTTCATTGCAGGTCTCAGCGAAAAGCATGGCCAACCTTCACTGGAGCTTATCTTCATCAATGAGGAGTAAGAATGAACCTTGTACATCACGACTGGAGATTTGAGCCCTACACAGGTTGCAATGAGATGAACCTAGGAGTAGAGGCAGGAAGGGCAAGCAGAAGCTTACAAGGGAATGTTTTAGATGTGACTGACAAGGAATGCTTATATGAGAAACGGGATTAATGTAATGGTCTGGATCTCACCAAAGCTTCCCAGGATTCATTTCTTTTTTAACACTATGGCCATTTTAGAAAGAAGGAAAATGTTTCTCAGGATGTGAAAGATCTTCTTTTGAAGTCTGTATTTGTGCTGTATTAGAGAGTGCTGTCCACATATTTTTATTTCTGTTCCCCTGAAGGAACAGTGATGGAGAGGATCCAAGCACAGTATGGAGTGCCCACAGGACATATCTGGAGGGAAAACACTTACAGAGGATTCCTAAGGAAAGCCTGAACTGTCAAGAACATTCAAGAGAGAGATGAGAGGCAGGGGGAGATGGGGTGATACCCACAAAAAACACCCCTCCTCCCCCCCCAAAATGTAAAATATTTCTTTTAATATAGACAAAGTTCTTCAGAAGTTTGAAACACTAACAGTTTCAACCAGGTAAAATCATTTGAGGTAAAATCTAGTAAGGTGAAAAGGGCAAATCAAAGGACTAATTTCTTTGATAAATTACCAAATTAACCAGCATTTCAAGATACTCAAGAGAATATACAAAGTCATTGTCCTAAACCTATGTTATAGGCTAAATCCTGAGAAGCGTGTTCTTACAAGGTGTAAGAATAAATTGCACAATCCCGTCTTGAGCTCCTTCTATTTTGTTCAAAATTGTTCAAAATAAAAGAGAAACAAGTTCTTGTTACACCTTTAAAAATTTACTTTAAAACAAACGTAATCATTCAAACAGCACATGGTGATGACTTTACGTTAACTTGCAAGATTTAGATAGTCTTCGCATTAGTCTGGAGACTAATGGGTTCTCCAATATTCCCCCCGTCTTAATCTCTTTTTATCCCAGCCATATTTTCTGTGCAGTATAGAATCAAATCTTCAGTCTGGCATTGTGCCATTAATCCCTTTAAGCCCTACAGAAGAGTATGTGTGGGTTATTTCATAACAGAACTATTATTAAAATGGTATTACTTAAAAAAGAGCTTGAAATTTGATGGGAAAAGAAAAGTAGCACATCTTCTGGAATTAAATCTGTTTTCAATGTCAAAGTAAAAGTTCAGTGGATTGTTTGCATGGTCCACATGCCACACAGGACAGATTTTAGTGAAAGCTTTAAAGTGGTACAGGTAGGTGCTCAGAAACAGCATTGGAGACATTGGTGGAGGAAGAACTTGAGTAAAATAAGACAGTGGTAGCACTGGATTGCCTGGTGATTCACTCCACTGTGAATGGAGTCCATTCCTAGAACAGGGTATATACTACCTAGAACACATATTTTTTCTTTCATGGAGGTGGAACCCCACTGCTACACAGATATAGATGTGAAACATAATGATGACTCTTAAGTATCTGGCCAAGATACTACGTAAGAGATAGACACAAATAAATGGTATGCTTCACCATTTCAGTAGGCACTAGTTCTCCCGCACATGTTGCCCCTCCTACCCATGATGTGTGCCTTTTGAGGGAGCTAGGTGAACAGGCATTTTTAAAGTATATTTTCCTTTCTTTGTTTTTAGTGCTACTACTACTGACTTCAGCTCCTTGATGCACTCAAAGGTATTGTCATAGGTAGTATCTTCTGAGCTACACTGTTTTCTAATGCAGGAACCATCAGTGCAGAGTCCACACAGCTCTGCAACAAACTGCTGTTTCCTTTATTTCAAACAAGTAGTGGTTGTTGGCAGAGAATACGTATTGCAGAATGTCCTGCTTTGTATTTAACCTGTCAGCCCAAATTAAGTTGGGGAACATTAGCTCTGTAGTGTTTGTTGTACTTATTGCTGGAGATCCTGAGATCCAGTCAGCAAACTAACAATTACATATGGTTTCTAGCAAGTTCAGATATGATCTTTTATTGTCTAGGTATTGCCAGCTTCTGCAGCTGAGACACCTCAGTTACTAGAACAACCTACACTATCAGAAAGTCATAGCCTCTAGCAAGGGATCTGTTAGATTCTCCTACATGGCAGAGGAAGAAGACCTGAACTTATTATAACCTGATTTTTAATATCACTTTAAAATAAAATCAGGTTGTTGGGTTTTTTTAAATCTTTTTTTTTTTTTTCCAGTATAAAGTTTACAGCTGAAATTTTAGTGGGTTTCTTTTTTTTTTTTTTTTCAAAAGCCCACTACCCATGATCTTTACAAAGCATCATCAATTCTAATCTAAGTGCCCCTTAGGAACATTTAGGAACAGAAGAAAGGCTAATCCAAAGGCATTTGCCTCCCTACAGAGTATGAATGGTGTGCACATGATAGCCAACCCTATTGGAACGATGAATTCTAAGAGCAATGGGCAGCACCTACCTCAGGTAAGGAGATGTTAGACCTGGGGGGTGAGCGAAAAGACAGACGTGAACATCACTTGCTCCCCACTGTTTCATATTTGTTCCTTGTAAGCTGTTACATGGAATTGTTCTCCATCATCTTACAGCAGTTGTGGCTTGGCCCTTTGCTAGTTCTTACTCCCATTTAGACGCCCCCAGCACAGGTATTTTCAGAAGACCCTCCTGCAATGTCTAGTACAATTCATTTAGCTTTACATTCAGTAATGTGATCACAAGTTTCCCTTCTTATTTGACTGTTCTACCCACTTTATTTTTGCAAAGCTTCCCTGGAAAATAGCCCAACTCAAAAATAACAATCCCTGACACACAATATCCTACTCAGAACTAAACCAGCAGCAGGCATGGACCATTTAACTGTTCAGCCAGTTCATTAGGTGGTCTTAGTACCCACCTCCTTTTTGTCTTGCCAAATATCCGCCCTCAAAATCCTCCATTACATCAGTCCATTCCAGTATTTCTACTTCTCTTAAATGTATCCAAGAAGTGGTTGCTGTTTGGACTACAATTACGTAGCATCTTAATGGCATAAGTTGATGTCCAGGAAAGATTAGGCTAAAATCAACACATGAATTTGCATTCACAGTTCAAAAGAATCTGAGCGTATGTTTCCAAAAAAGGCTAATGCGCTGCTCTTGATACTTACTTTCCTCTTATACCCATTTCCCATACACATTCAGTGGTTATTTTGTAAGAAATATACTCACTTCACTTTTAACCTACAGGGATTTTTGCCAGGGTACCCTCACGATGATGATGAACCTATAGCATGACTGGTTTTACTACATAAACCCCAATCCAAATTAATAAATTTAACAAATCTATCTAAACCACTTGCTGCTTTTTTCCTGATCCTAAATTACAGCCTTGGGTTGCACACAAAGTGCCTTGAAGTACTGTACCTTTTTTTCCAGTACAAGAACTTGATTAACCAACATGGAGACTTTCCTGTCACTGCTAAAAAAGCTTCTTTTGCAGCAATATTTTCCTACAGCTTTTTCTTCCATATTCCCATTGCCCAGCCTTTTTCATGCCGTTTCTGAGACCCCTAGCACTCCGTTCCTAATTAGAGGCCCTGAGCTTGTATAAGTGCAAAAAGTCCACCAAGCATTTGTCTGGTGGCTGCTCATAAGCCTTGCTGCTGCAGTGCTGGCATCCCACCCCTGCAGCCCACAAGGGCTCTCGGTATCCGCTGAGATTCCAGTCAGAACTGGAGCTGGCCCAAACCATAGCCAGAAGTCTGATTACTGTTCGTCCTACATTTCTGCCACAGACCAGGCAATTTCAGGTCCCCCAGTTCTGATCCCAGTTAATCCCCGAGAAGAAAACCTGCCCCCTCTTACATAAATCTGTTGTTTCTCTGGGACCAGTATCACCATGGCATTAGAGCAAGTTGGGCTGCTGTTCTGATCACCTGCTTTCTTTGGTGAATGTATCCCCTCACAGGCTCAGATACTTGTCCTTCCTCCTAAGCCCTCAGAACTGGGCCTGAGCACTAAGTACCGGTATCAGACCAGACATGACCACATGGTCTGTAAATGCCTCTCACTGAGTATCTCCTACGCGGCAACCATTGGAGGACTGACAACCATCATAGGGACGTCCACTAGCCTCATATTCTTAGAGCACTTCAACAAGTAAGTGATATTGTGGTTGTGTGAGAATGGCAGTTGGGTCATTATCATCTTTGTGGCTTTCCCCATGGGTTATTTACTACCTCAAGGCACCCTTGTAAGACAGTCTCTCTGAAGGCAATTTTGTTTCCATTACTAAAGGTTAATGGTTGAAAGGGGGAGCTTAAGTTAATACATATCCATGTCTTTCTCCCATGCAAAATAAAAATTCCTCAGCATGTGGTAACATTTAAGTTTCTTCAGCAACTTCTTTTGATTTTACAAACTGATTATCATGAAGGCAGCAGGCATCCTGGAAAAGTAAACAGTAAAGCCATGAAGATATAGCAAAGAAGACAAAGAGAAATACTCACAAAAGAAGAAATGTCATAAAATCCGCTTCAAGTTGTTCTATGGGTTCTTAGAAAGTAAGTTCTTATAGTGAACCTAGAGGCATCACTAGCAGTACTTGGGCTGCTCAACATGTAGTGCAAAAATAAATAAACTTAGAAATGTGGCCTTACATATTTGCTTCAGAGAAGTTGGGAAGCAGCTCTCTGATCAGGTAAGTATTTCATTTATCATATATGCCCAGGGCTCTCAAAGACATGAATGTTACCTCTGTCAGAAGACAGATATGCGTCCAAGCTCGAACCTGATTCTGATCATCTACTGCTGCCACTGCTGCCATGGTATCCTTCATTTCTCTCTCTCTGAAATGGTGGTAGCAAAGAAAACTAATTTCGGAAGACATCCTTAACCCAAGGATTTGGATTTTACAGAATTTCCAAACATCTTGCTGCTATGACAGTTCCACCAAATGCACATATCGGACATCTTTGTCAGAGCCCAGCAGACTATAGTGATTATTTGTGTGGTCCATGATAAGACATACAAAGAGATTCTGGGTGAAATCATTCTTAAGTCTACCGACACTAAAAAGAGCTCTAACAAAATCATAGGTAGGGCCAGAATTTCACTCCTGGTAACTCTAAGGGTTTTTGAAGCTCGCTAGACAATCCAGACCATCTGGTCTTAAAGGTGTGAAGTGCTATATGTCTCATCTGTTGGTCAGGCATGGTCAATGGCAACTGGTTTCACTATGCACATGTAATGCAGCTGTTGCAAATACATATTGATGCAATTTTTCTATCATGCCATGACAAATATATATACATATATATGCGTGTGCATCTATGCATACTGGAGGTGCCTGTCTTTTTACTGTTCTAACTTCTTGTGCCTCCTTTTTTTCCTTTACAGCCACTACCCAAATGCTGAAGTGGTGAATTTTGGAACCTGGTTTTTGTTCAGTTTCCCCATCTCCCTCATCATGTTGGTCCTGACATGGTTCTGGATGCATTGGCTGTTCTTGGGTTGCAAGTGAGTGCAGGTTATTCAAGATGCATGGATTACGAAAGCAGGGCATCTGTGGCTCCTCTAAAACATGTCTCATAAAGATGTTTCCAGTTGCAAATGACAAAAACTAAGGCACAACTTCCGTCTTCTTGCCAGAACAAATACTGGAGGAAATCTAATTGCTTAGCTGCACTGCATAGACAGCAGTGTACAGTATTGCTGCTCGAGAGTGAAGTGCCTAGGTATTGCTAATGGAAATCCTTATGATGCATTCAACTGAATTTTTGACTCTCATGACCATGAGGATCCCATTGTGGACCAAAAATCTTGTCAAAAGTGCTTTTGGAAAAGTACAGCTTAAAAGATGAATAGAAAAGTAACTGCAAGTGAACAAGTCACTTTTCTGATCTGCCCCCAGCTCAATGAAATTAATGTAAGACCAGTTAAAATTAAAGGTAAACAGACTCCATATATATTTCTCTTTAAAGTGAAAAGGACTCACAGCCTAAGAGACGAATACATCTTGATACCAGTAAGTCCCTTAGCCCCAAAATAAGAACAAGGCTCAGTCTCCTAGTCCATTTGTACCATGTATTCTCTTTGTAGAGGCACTCAGCAAAGTTAATGAAAATGGACTAAATGTGTGCATTTAGAGTGGATTAGTTAATCTGCATTAAATTGTGGTGCAGACACATTTACTCAGAATTAAAGTGGCCTTAATTTGATTTAGTTTACTCTTAAAAGTAAGCTGAACTGACATCACTAATTTATTTCATCTAAGACAATGAACAAAATGATAATGAATTCTGCTTGCTGCTGACCTTGACTAGATTTGAAGAAGTAATTTAGAGGTGAATAGCTCCATGTCCTTCTCTCAGTCAGTCTCCCGAACCTTGTAGTTCCAAATTAAAAGGCTAAAGTAAGTCCTATTTTTTTTCAATATTGAGAGGAAACAGGCCCTAACATGACCCTCAATTACTTACTTTTTTTTAAAAATAAATATAATTGAAATTCCACATTGCATCCGAGACCTCATGCTGATTAATGTTGTTCTAAATAATACCAGAGACTGAAGCATTATTGACTTTTTGAGAACTACTGGTTGATTCCAAGCCTCCTTAATCTCTGACTCCTATTCACTGCAGTTCATTAAAGAACATATTATATTAGGAGCTTGGCTACAATACTGTGCTTTCACATCCTCGTAAGCCTAGAAACACTTATAACATGTTGAAACAGCTGCCTATTGCCTGTGCATAAATGTTTACTGAATTCCCATAATGTTCATATTCTTCTCCTAGGAAGCCCAGTGTCATCAATCTATTCTTACTTGGCCCAGTTGGAACAACATGTCAGACTTGCTTTTTAGGCTCTAGACTAGGTCAAAGGGGAAGTAAAATGGGCCCACCAAACGATTTTTGCCATTAGCAGAGCTAAGGGTAGAATCGTTACTATAGGACTGGCCATTAAAAACCATAGAGCTCTTCTCTTCCTGCAGCTGCATTACTGCTGGTGGATTTTACTGGAGCCTTACAGCAAGGTTTGCAAGGAAATTTAAATACTTAAGTGCAGGGCAGTGCTAAGCGCGCTAAAAACAAGTGTCACATAGGTACCCATTTACAAGTGAAATGAAAAGCCTTTTTAAGATTTTTTGTTAACCAGACAGGGCCTGCCTGTACCTGGAGCTACGCAAATTCCTTTGAGAATCTGGCCATAACCAGATACATGGAGAGAGGTCGTAGTCCTTGGTTTGGCCGGTGCTATGGCATGGATCTCATGTAGTAGTAGGATACCAAAAGAGATATTAAAATATCAGGAACTATAAAAGCAGGCCATTGTGCTCCCATGGTACTTCAGCCACAGAAGTCCCTGCTGCTGCAGCCTATTTTGGCTTAGCTGCAGAGGTTTCTCAACCCACCCCACACACCTCTGTGTGACAGAGGGTACAGCTGGAGCGGAAAAGCAGAGATCTGTGGCTCAAAGCACAGCAAAGTAATGCTACTGGAAATAAGAGAAGGAAAAGGTTAAAGTGAGCTTGCAAGTATCTTAATTTCAAGTCAGAATGTCCAGGTTTTGTTATAGTATGAGGGCAATTTGAATAAACTAAGGACTTCACCTAATTCTCATACAAATATATAGCAGGTTTAAATATATTCAGCTATGAAATGTGCTTGTGCTTGTGCTTGTGTGTCCCTGGCAGAAGTACAGGCATTTTCCACCAGGACAAAACACTAGACTGATTGCCTTGGCCTCTGTGACAGAGGCAATTTGGTGCTACACTGATTGTGCCTGGTTTAGAAGCAGCTAGTATTGATAGAAGCAGACAGGTCGTGAAAGGTATTGGGATCCTCAGCACAGCTTTCCCCCTTTACTTACAGTGAATCCTGAATAGTCAAGTCAAACATGGGCTCAAAAGCCACACCGGGCCCCATATGTGTTGGATACCCCTGATCCGACTAGAAAGCATACCGTTCCCCCACTAAAAAATCTTTTGATAGCTGGCCTCTGTCACAGCCTTTCCATGTGATGGTAGAAATTAGCCATAGCCTTTGGAAGTTCCTGGCACCAGAAAAATCTGGCCACTGCCAGCTCTTTGAGGAAGCCTACGCAAAGAGAGCTCAGCCACAGCTCGGGATGGCTCAGTAATACCAGCCAGTATTAGTCTGAGCACTCTGGGGACCTTCCTACTATGTCTAGGATTGATTCTCAGAAGATCTGGAAACGAGACCACGCAAAGATCACATGCAATAATTTCCCTTCCCATTGCCATCAGGCCTTGCCCCAGTCACGTCATCTCCAGACAGCCTCTGGCAATTGGAATTTTCAGTTTGCCTTGTTGTTGTTATTTTTTGTGACTTTTTTGTTTTCACTGGGTGCCCTTGTCTAATTTTACTGTGCTATCTACCTCAGTTTTAAAGAGACCTGTTCTGTGAGCAAGAAGAAGAAGACCAAACGGGAAGAAATGTCAGAGAGAAGAATTCAAGAAGAATATAATAAACTGGGAAATATTAGGTAAAACAGACCTGCCTTCCTCAGGAATTTGCCTCTCTAGGCAGGACCATCCTCTCATATTGCCCTCCATGTTTCCTTTGGCTCATGTAGATTATTCTTAAGCTGTCAGCTCTTTCTCCTCCTTTCCAGGATAGGAATAGATCTAAATGCAAAAATGAACTAAAATCAAAGACTTTGTTACAAGCATACATTTATTTACTCATTTATTTATTTCTGAAGAAAAAGGAAAGAAAAGGAAAGATTCAGGTTTATACTAGGGTCCAAAGGTCACCTGAGTCACGGTTTGTCTCTACCTTTGAACTAAATCATTAAAGGACCCCCCTTCCCAATTCAGGCACATACTTATTTTGGTGGATAGAAGTTCACTGTTAGCAAACGCTTTGCAGCAATCTCCCATGCCGTGAGATGTCCAGCCCTCCCAGTTGCCCATAATCTTTATTCACGGTGGCAAGAAATGTCTCTTGAAAAGATTATTTTGCAAGATTTTCATTTTTCGGAAGGGACGATACCTCATAAAATCCATTCTTCCCAAAACATTTTTGTGTTCTTCACAGAAATGTTGACACATCAACTTGCTGAATATGATCAACTCTGAATCTAGACTGTTGTTCAGACTGCGCCTAAATATGAAACCATATTTAATTTAAATCTATCCTAAATTAAAACTCAGTATCCTCAAGTCACCTTATATTTACTCTATGTGTTTAAAATATCTGTGCTACTTTACATTGTCATTTGCTCTTATGCTTTCTACATTTTTAAAAAATGCAGTAGAAAGTGTTTACAGTGGAATAGTAACATGAGCTTTACCTTGCTAACACATTTAATCAGATAATAATGCAAATAAAAAACAAGCATTTATAAATATTTTCGTTCAGGTCTTGCCCATGAATGATTGAATATACAGATGGATATTTTTAGCCTATTTTTTACTGGGTTTAGATGGTTCTCAGCTGGGAGCCAAATGCAGAATTCAAACTAATCTTCCTTTCTATTTTCCATATGTTTTTTATCCTTTTTTTGGAACCAATTTCTAGTTTCTTACTTCTTCTGGAATTTGCTTTTGGGTTTTCAGACAAACCTTGGATTTAATTTCTAGCTTTTTTTTTTCTTGCTTTTATTCCTAGCTATCCTGAGATGGTGACTGGATTTTTCTTCATTCTGATGACCTTGCTTTGGTTTACTCGTGAGCCTGGCTTTGTACCAGGATGGTCATCTTTTTTTGAAAAGTAAGTGAAATTCCCTAAACAACTGCAAAGGAATATGGCCTTGCATCTTCTGACTTTCTGCAATAATTTTTGGCCTTAAAACACTGTCAGCCGTTTTTAACAAGGTGGTGAAAAATGAAGTTGTTATTCAAAAATGCTTTTTAAACTACATCTGTTCACATGGCAGCAAATTGTACTCTTTCTCAGTAAGAAGAATGAATTAAGTAGAGAAACTAAAATAAGCGTATGTCAAATGTGAAAAAATAGGAGGGTAGATTCTGAAGTTAAAACATTTTAGTGCATTCATAGAGAAGTTGTCACTGGAATAGGTTGCAACTATAATTCAATTTTTTTTTTTCAATTTTATTTTGAAATAATAATTTTTGACAAAAAGTGTATTTTTCTGAAGATAAATTTTATCAAGAAAATGTCCATTTCAATTAAATATTACACAGAATGGTGACTGAAGCAAATATTTTTTCTTTTATTTTAAATAATGTTGAAACAAATTATATTAAAAGTAACTATAACACAATGCATATCAAAGAATAAGTGATTTGAACTTAAATTTTCTTTACGTTTCTACTGCATAAAATTATTTTAATTCTTCATCCTAATTTTGACACAAAAACAATTTCTAGTATTGGGATTTCCTGAGGATCTCTGGAGTTTGGCACTCCTCAAAATACTTTTTCGGAATGAGTTTCAAATATTTACCTTAAAATCATCTACAGTTCATTCCTAAAGGATCACTTGGGTTTGGCTTTTCCCCAGAATGTGTTTACTGTTTCTTGCTTCTAGTAAACATGCTATTTTTCTCTACCTCTGAGTTAACAGATTTGTAAACCAAAAGGGATTTCTTTTTTTCACTAGGATGTTAAAAATTGTTGAGCAGTGATTGAAGTTGGCTAGAGTCAGTTTAATAAATGGGAAAAAATCCAATTTATATCCTTGATATGCAGACATATTTTTCTAGTGGGCTGCTAGTAAGACTTCAGATGTGGAAATACAACTTCACCTGCAACAATTTGCTTGGAGCCATGTACCTTGTTCGGAAATGTTTCTGTTAGTGTGTTTTTATGATAACCCCACTGTTTCTTTCCTAGGAAAGGTTACCGGACTGATGCCACTGTCTCTGTATTTCTTGGTTTTCTCCTTTTCCTGATTCCAGCAAAAAAGCCATGTTTTGGAAAAAAGGAAAAAGGTGAGGAGGATGCAGCAAGAAAGAGATCTGGCACATTTTCCAGTGCCTTTAATGACATTTTTCTGTTCTCTGTAAAATGTTCCAAGAAGAGATTTTTATTGTGGAAGGTCAGTTCAGTTTCTCCTCTGATACCAGCCCTTCATACATCAAGCCCCCTTTTTTTTTATTGCTTTAATTCTTATTGTCTTGTCCAGCAGATTACAAACAGATCTTGAATCTGAGGCCACCATCTCTTCTGTGTTAACAGAGTTATCAAAATTTAGGACTGAGTTTTAGGAAAGGTTCAGATGGAGTTCCATATAGAGAACTATAATGCAGATGTTTGCAAAATCGGCTGAATATAAGCTCTAGTAAACAATTTGGTCATCACTTATACAGCAGAAATCATTGATAATGTCATAAAATAAACATAAAAGAGGTCAGCAAATGTCAAACAAAGTTCCAATTTTGCGCAATGCGTCTTACAGTCTTCTTGATAATAACAATGATTGTTATTTCACATTCACGTTTGGGTAGCATTCAGTGGTATTGATCAGTTTGCTGTGCCGGGCTTTCAGCAGTCCTGTGTGAAAATAGAATTGCCTGCATAGAGCCTTATGCAGAGATCACAAATGTATACGGATACTTTTTTTTTTTATTTAAATATTGACATATATTATGCAGCATTTAGGAAAAATGACACACTTTAGTTTCTACTTCAAGAAAAAACTCAGGCATCTAAAAAAATTATGTCCTCAGATAAAACCTAGGGGCATAAATGCACTGTATCAAGCTTCCTGGCCTACTGGAGAGAGAAAATGCCCTTCTTTGAGAAAATAATCCCATTGTAACTCCGTCTTTGTAGTCTACAGATAATTTGCACACGCATATACACAACAGAGCACACAATCCCTCAAAAAGCTATGGAATGAAACACAGGGGTTTATAACTATTCACATGAACAGAGCAGCCAAGGGGAAGTCAGGACATTTGGAATTCTGAGGCCGAGCTAACCAGAGAAATAGGCTACGTGCTTTGTCTTCACCTCTCTCACAGATAGTTCTCAATATAACTCCCATGGATATTACATTATTCCTACTAGTGTGGAAAATGTGAAGATCTTTGCAAAAAGGCCAACGTAATACTGGTCACACACTTGCTTTATTTTGATATAGGAGATGGTGAAAAGTCAACAGACATTAACACACTGGATCCCATCATTACCTGGAAGGACTTCCAGAAGACCATGCCCTGGGAGATTGTAGTGTTGGTTGGAGGAGGTTATGCCTTAGCAGCTGGATGCAAGGTACTGATTTAGATTTTTATCCTCCTTCCTAAAAAAATTATAAACCTGGACTTTTATCCCTTTGTATGCTCCCCAGTTTGGATTTACAATGTGGATACTTTCAAGTTTGTACATAACCTAGTTGCTACTCCCTACAGTCAATGGACGGCTATCTAGCTAACAAAAAGATGGTTAGGGCTCAAGTCAGTTGTGTAAGCATCTGCCATTTCAGATGCTTTAGAATACCTAGATATTCCTGCAAGGCTGGCAGACACGACACAGGATCTGAGGGAGACCTCACATTTTCTCAACTAGCAGATAACCAGAGAGAGGGGGAACATCTCAGCTGCCACTGGATGCTCCTCTTCAGGCAACCGAATCAAGCTCCTAGCACTGACTGGACAAATCATACTTTAGGCTCTACTGACTATACCTACACCCAGTATAATTCATGAATACACATCTATCTCTCCTATAGACTTGTACATGTAGACAACTAAATTTGTGTATTTTAATCTCAAAATGAATTATACCCAGACTGTGCAATCCTTCATCACCAATTTGCAATACTGCAGTTTGCATGCTGAAGAAAGAGGGAAGATCAGCCTTGGTGCCTTTTTAATGTTATTAACTGCCAAATGTACCTCTTTGTTACTATGGACAACTATTTATTAGGCACTGCAGTGAAATCCAGTTTGCTGAACAAAAGGAAATGAAGAAAGCATTGACCTAAACTTTGCTTATTTGCTGGTGGGATTCTCTGATGCAAACTGCCCCAAAGAGAAGAATCTGTTCTACACACATACTTAGTATTTAGTAATTCTTGCGCTTCTGTCCTTTCCCCAGACCTCTGGCCTCTCTACATGGATTGGACGCCAAATGCTCTCCCTGAGCAGCCTTCCCTACTGGGCTGTAACTCTGCTGGCTTGCATTTTGGTGTCCCTGGTAACAGAGTTTGTTAGTAATCCAGCAACCATAACCATCTTTCTGCCTATTTTATGCAGCATGGTGAGTAAAAACAATGACATTTTTAGTCTATTGTTTCCTGACATGCTCATGGGAATTTTTCGGGACGTCAGGATATTGGCACTCTGTTCACGTGAAATCCAGCCTCGGTTCCCAAGCTACTGTTCTGCAGTCTTGGGCTTAGGAAAAATAATAAACTCAGGCAGCCAAAAGCATATTTTAGCACCAAGAAATTTATTCTATACCTCTCAGACAAAGTGAAAACATAGCTCCTGCACTGAGGGATGCATAGTTTAAGTACAAGAAAAGGTGACGACACAATCAGTAAGATAGGTGAAGTCCACATAAAGCTTGATACTCTTATCAGTGTTATTTTAAATGTGTTGTTTATTAGTTAGTAGTCACCCACTCACTACTTGTAAGAAAAGACTGTAGTAGTGAATTTTATATCAGATTTAAATGTGTTAAAGAGGATGATCTGGTAAGCATACTATCATCGAAGACGGAAAGCAGAGATATTTGTAAGGAACAGAAAAAAATCAGGAGACAAAGACAGAGGAAAGAGTTACAAATTTCATTCTATATTGGAACAGCAGTTACGGAAAACTGTCTTATTTCTTTTCTTTTATGTAATCTGAAGCAGAATGCAGGTCGTGTTTCCCTATTATAACAGTTTTATGAGATTGTCCCAAAGTACATTATGTGAATACCTCTGAGGTAATATGAAGATACGGTCAGATGAAAATAAGTAACAATGTTTGCATGGCTTATGAGTTCAAATTTACCTCTGTTCCATGCAGAAAGAGAGCCTGCTAAAGAGAAATTTAGAGCAGCAATCTACTTTTAGTAGTCTGAACTGCCATCTTAAGGCAGTCTCTCTTTTTTGACTGTAAAAGTAACCTGGAGACACTTCCCTCTCCAAAATGAAGTTAGCCTTATGAATACCCTTCCCTTACCCTCTGACATAAAACTAGGCCATAGCAATGTAAACGAAAATGCAAAGTTTCACCACCACCAAAGGCTGCAGTGGAAGAACAATTCTTTAGACCGCTGTAAAGAATATTCCATCATTACTGCCTTCCTGCCATGCAAGTTTGGACCATGAACATCTAGTTTTCTTAACCACCATTCAGGAGGACTTTACATAATGGTCTCAGTATCTGCAGCAACTGAGGGAAGTAAGTTCTTCATGCCAACCTGTTGTGAATTCTCTTGGATGAAGACTGAACTGGCAGTCAGTGTTAAGGTCTGGAAGACACAACACAGAATGACACAGAGAACAAGGGGAAGGAAAGAGCAAAGAAGGCCTAATAGTAGCAATCTCCACCCTCATCCAGTGCGAAATGGCTCAAGAGAAATCCCTGGAGCATGACCAGCTCCAAGTTATAGCACTACCCTACTCTAAAAAACGAACTCTTGTTTTCTTCATGAAAAGCAGAGAGGGTCCTTTCACCCTAATTATGAGCAGTGGCTTTTATTGGCTAAGTGAAATTTCTCTCCTCCTCTCTCCTTCCAGTCAGAAACCCTGCTTATCAACCCTTTATACACCCTGATTCCTGTCACCATGTGTATCTCATTTGCGGTGATGCTGCCAGTGGGTAATCCTCCAAACGCCATTGTCTTCAGTTATGGGCACTGCCAGATTAAAGATATGGTGAGTCTTGAGATTGGGTATATCCTCCCACACTTCATGCAAACTCAACACCTTGTCCCGATCATATCCAGCAGCCAATAATAATGATGATAATACTGGTGCTAATATAAAGTCATATTGATCTGCACTGCTGTTCTGTGACTGAGCTGTCAGGTTAAGAACATCTACATATCTGCTGCGTAGGATATGCACAATTCTCATCTTTATTTTTTCATTAATGTAACGGTCTAAAGAGCTATCAAAGAACAGGAGTACACAATCCTTTGCATTGACCTGTTAAGACAAGCACAGGAGAGCATGAGAAATTAGTTTTATCACATAGCTCCACAGTAAGTCAGGTAGTTATCAGCCTGCTATGTGTGGTATAACACCCCATTATGATTATCTGACTGAGAAGTTCAAGTAACAAACTGAGCAGTTTTCCAATGAGCTGCATCAACCTCTATCACTCCTGAATACTCCCACAATGTACACTCTGATACATAATACTCACTGTGCTATTTTTGGTTCTAGAAATCAGTATACATAATTTATCACACTATATATAAGTCAGTATACATAATATATACACCCTACTGCCTTCTTTTTTCCATGTTAACTGTTTTTGATCAAGATGTCATTGATTGTGCTCTGATGCATTTTGCTTTTGTAGGTGAAAGCTGGCCTGGGTGTAAATCTGATTGGCTTGGCTGTTGTCATGGTGGCAATCAACACTTGGGGAATTAGACTTTTCCAGCTGAATATTTTTCCAGAATGGGCAGCAGTCAGCAACGTCACTAGCCAAACATAATCTCCAATGAAAAAAAAAAAGAAAAAAGTGCAAGACCAAAGCGAGTTGGGACAAAATATTAAACATACATTGCACATATTAAAGAAAGGAGAAAACTTGTGTATACGTAGAACCAGGATCCATAGCAAACCATGAAGAAAATCCACAGGGAGGTCTTCTGCAAAAATTTTTCAATTCTGAAAATCAGCATGAGTTAAAAGGAAAGATTAGCTTTGCTCTATTGTTGCTTTCCCTGTGATACCATAACTCTGAAAAAACGCCTCTCCTCCAAATTCTCTGCCTATGGCTTTTTCATGCCCTAGAACAATTATGTAGGACTTGTAAAACAGGGGATATAGGACTCCAATGACAGAAGACAAGTATATATACACTGGTGTATACTGTAGTAGGATATTCAATCCTACCATTGACTCCTACGGTGAATGAAGGATGAGTCTTATTCCCAAACCTAGAGTTTTATAAGCCTACTTCTTTTAAAGGCAAATTATTATTCTCCTTTTGAGGTGAGTCATCACTGTTGGAAAAAACACTTTCCCAGCTAATGCATGTGGCCTGGAAAGAAATACAGCTACCAACTACCAGCTACACCACTTCAAAGGGATAATAGAAACCACCAAACAGATAGGAAGGAGAAGTCTCCTGGGAAGGAGAATGTTTTTTTTTTCCACAGCACTAGTATAAAGTTTCCAATATTGCTGTACTTGCAATCTCTGCTTTGAAGGAAGAGCTTCAGAAACAGATAGAAAGTTTTGGTCAATACCTTCTTTCCTTATCATTATACTGAAGTGGGAGCTTTTTCAGCAGGGGAAGCTGTGACCAGCAAAACCTTACCAGGCCAACAGACCCATTGCTCTCCTCTCTCTTTGGCTGCTGTTTAGATAGTTACGCAGTTATGATTCCCCTGACAGAAAATACAATCACGTCCAAGATGGCACTCAGTGCCGCTCCATGAGTAAGAAGGGAGAGGGCTGAAGTGGAGTGGTGCTGGTGTATCTCCTCATCATGCGCATTCACTTGAACATCACACCCACCTGCTCTCTAGCAGCCCAGAGAACAGGAACTTCAAATGTAGGAAACTGTGACATAGAGCGTCTAACTACCAAACAAAAAAGGCCAGTCTCTTTATCATCTGCAAAGTGAATGCCCTGCTTTTCTGACTGGATCCCTGTGATACTCAGTAAACCTTCTCTTGTATTATGTCCTGTTTCTAATCATTTCTTTAATGTCAATGCATTTAAGCTGTATATTAGGATGATTGGATCTCATGTAATCGCACTCTTTATATATATACACTTTAATGAATTTTTATGCTTTCCACTTATAAGCTAGGGTTTCTAGATGTTAGTGTGAATGCCTATCCTGCATAAATAAAATGTCAATAAAATAAATAACTCACTACTGCATATTCTGGTGCTCTGTGAGAATATAAATAGGATATATTTCACCTTATAACCCACAAGCCCTTAGGGAAGTAGTGTTGAGACAGCAGGAGGTGTTTGTTTACTGCTTCTGTCAAAACAGAGGGATCCCACAGACTTTTCCTGGAAATAAACAGATACAGTAAGAGGTCATAGGTTGGCAGAGGGGAAGCAAAATGGGCAAATCACAAAAGCACATCTTAGCCCTTGTACCAAAAGCAGGAGGCAGCATCCTTTAGCAAAACAATTTCTCTTCATAGTACTTCCTGCAAATTTGGTTTTGAAAAACAAAGTGTTTCTGTGAATCAATGGCTCAGTGCATCCCCATGCCCTCCTAATCCCCTCCCTGGGTGTCTTCCTGCTCCCCAGCAAGCGGCTGCTGCTGGGCACAGACCCCAACATGGTGCTCAAAGCAGAGGCGCCCCGGCCTCCCTCCCAGCACAAGCTGCAGTCCCCCAGCAAGCTGCACTCAGCACCGAAGCCGCTGAAGCGGGAGAGGGCGGCTGCAACGCCTGCCCATCAGCATGGGCAACTTTCTCCAGGAACAAGCACCTCAGTGGGTGGGGGTGCCTGCAGTACCAAGGGTCCTGTCTCCACACACAACAAGCAGGACATCTCTTTGTTCACAGTCCCCAAAGTGACTTTCAATCACTCTTCCCCTGCCAAGAAACTCTCTTTCCGGCTTGCTCTCTTCCCAAGGCTTTAGTTGCTCTGCGCCTTTTACTGTGCACTCATCTTCTAATCCTTTTCACTTCACGCTTCATCCATCACCATCTTCACATTGCCTAGCTGCTCAGCAACAAATCACTCTCCACCCTCCTAATACTTATTTCTCAGCTCCGCTCAGCTCAGCTCCCATCAGGCCTTGCTAGCCCATGCCTTTCCCAAGGGATATGAACACGGGATATTTTCATTTGCAAGAGAGATGAGCAGCTGGCATGCCAATCAGCTTTAGGGAGATCTAGGATTACTCACAAATCAAACAGGGTGGCCACAAACCTCTTCGGTAATAACACCAATAGCAGTAGGTAAATGGAAATTACTTGGTGCTGTGTTGCAGATCGCACGCAATATTTCTTCAGAAACATTTCCATGAGTCTCTGGCATAGTTTGTGTCTCACGAGATTGGTGCAGAGAAATTTGGAGTGGACTCAGGCAAAGAGTTTCCCCAGCAGCCTTTCCTTCTGCATCGGTGCTCTCAGCACACTTCCATGTCCACAGCTGCTGGCACTTGTCACTGCCATGTCCCACCAGGCATTTGCAGGAAGGCAGTGTGCTGTACTGGCCCCTTCTTCATATCAGATCAGTCAGTGCATGCACCACAGCCAGATTCTGCCCTTAGACATACATGTATGATTCCTTTCATTTCATTGACGACTTAAGAAAGTACAGAAGAAAGTATTTAGTGGCAGAATCTGAATATCGCAAAGGAAAATAGCAGCAGATGAAGCTTAGGGTTGGGCAAGCTGCGTGGCTCATAGCGTGACAGCAATGGGTGCTGATTGCTGCTTTTTTTTTTTTAATTAAAATAAATGGCAAATGGACAAAGAAGTAGGAAATTTTCACTGGTAATTTATAGCATACTGACACTCAACTTCAGATTTGCCTTTACCAATAACCAAAGCTGAAGTCTTTTCTTCAGAGAGGAGGTAAGCCTGATTTCAAATTAAGTGATTTCCAGATGCTTTCAACATATAGCACGTACATCAAGTCCTAAAAACAAAAGTTCTGCTTGCAACCTGAAATTTAAGATTCCTATCCAAAAAGTATAATCACATTAATTAGTAGCAGTATACTATTTTATCTTATAGTTTTATATTACCTTTTACTAGAATCCTATTAAGGCTACATATATTTTTTTTTCACAGTGATATAGAACCTGAACAATTTCACTGAAGTAAACTGAGGTGATTTATACTGAGCAATTCTTCATTCTGTGGCTGACAGATTAATGTTTTATTTCTCAGGAAAAAAAGCAGAGCATGATAGCTGTACTTAATACTTGTACACAGGTTGTTCAATTCTCTCTGCTTTGCCAAAAATGTGAATAATAGAATTTTTTCATACATTGATTAGTATCTTACTACTTGGATTGCACCTTTGAACCCAAAGGTGCGGTTGTCAGAGAAGGGCTCTAATCAGTGTGATGAAAGGCTGCAGAATCCCTGTTTTCACACAGAAAACCAACAGTATGTTCCACTCCAGCATTTGGGCTCACAGGGTAGGAGAGGTACTAGTGAAGTTATGGTTTGAGTTGGTGATTTACAGGAATGGGGTATTTAGATATTTTCCAGATGTATTAAAGACTAAAGCCAGAATTGACTTTGACGGGAAGACAGTAAATTTGACCATCTGTGATTAACGTATGTTTCAGGTGAAAAAGCAAATAACCTCCACAGCTATTTTATTTCAGTACAAATTCAATAAAAATGACCTTTGCTTGGGACTTTGTAAAGTAAAGGTTAGCATATACCACCGAGAAGTGTGACAAATAGAACAAAGTATCTCTTTCTTGTCCCTCTGAGGCAAAAATAAAAAGAGCTGTACAGGAAATTTCTCTATGGAGTTTACCAGTAACATATGCACTCCGATATCCACCATCACTTCCTAAGATTCAAAATAATTCTGCATCACATACAGCGGATATTGATTTTTACATACGAAGATCAAGTCACAACCATGTTTCTGCAAACACAGATATAATCTAGACTTATGAAACCAACTCCTTATTAATTTGAAAATTCCAATTTCTTCCTTTGCAACATTTCAATTTCGCCAGTAATCTAAGGGCCATCTGTAATCTGGGCCAACAGTAGTCTGGGCCCTTCAAAGCACATTTCCAGATGCTCAGCATCTATAACAAATCTCTCCAAGAAAGCATGCACAGAGGAGTCGTAACAGCTGGTGGTGCACACAGTTGCCAGCACCACAGGACAAAGGCGAACCACAAAGGACAACCACAGCGGAAAACTTCTGCCTTCACAAAGGCGATAAATTTTTTGAGTGATACCACAGCTCCCCGCAGCATCACTACTGAGAAATGTCCTGTGCTGCCAGATCACCGCTACATTATTTTACTCATCAGAAATCACTGTGAAGAGTGATATTCTACAGTAACAGGAGTCACGTATCTTTACCTGAATTCATAATAAACGTTTCTGATGTAGATGATGCTACTGAATGTAAAAACATAAAGAAAAAGAGTTGGTTTCATTAAACCTTTTCCTGTCCTTGAGTAATTCCTCTGCAGTATAACCCATTTTTACAGAAGGCAGCTGGAGGTACTAGTAATTAACTGACTCGGATGGGGTTAGGAAAGCCAATGCCAGGGCCCTGAGTGCCTTAATGGCCCTGGCCAGCCTCACTGGGAGGCCTATAGAGGCCCTTCTTGTTACAAAATCAGGAGCCAAGGGCCTCTATAGGCACACCAGGTGCAAAAGGAAATCTAAAGAAATGCTGAGGGAGCTGGCCGATGTCATTGTGAGGCCACTCTCTATTGTCTTTGAAAGGCTATGGTGATCCAGGGAGGCCCCTGAGGACTGGAAGAAAGCAAATGTCACTAGTATCTTCAAGAAGGAAGATTTGGGGAACTACAGGCTGGTCAGTCACACATCAATCCTTGGGAAGGTGATGGAGCAAATCCTCCTGGAAGCTGTTTCCAAACATACAAGAAAGTGATTGGGAGTAATCAGCATGAATTAATGAAGGGGAAATGATGCCTGACCAGCCTGGCACTTGTACAACAAAATGATGACAGTGGTGGTGGATGAGGGGAGAGCTATGTATCTTGTTTGGCAAGGCTTTTGACATGGCCTTCCACAACAACCCCACAGACAAATTGAGGAAGCATGGACTACATAAGTGAACGGTAAAGTGGATTGAAAACTGTCTGAAGTGCTGGGCTTAAAGGGTTATGGTCAGCACCACAAAGTCCAGCTGGAGGCCAGTTTCTTCCCCCAGGGGAAAATACCAGGGCCAATATTGCATTAGTGAACATTGGCATATTTATTAATGGCCTGGACAATAGAACAGAGTGCACTCTTAGCCAAGTGAAACTGGGAGGGGTAGTTAATGGCCTGGACAATAGAACAGAGTGCACCCTTAGCAAAGTGAAACTGGGAGGGGTAGCTGATGCACAAGGTGTCTGTGCTGTCATTCAGAAGGACCTTCACAGGCCAGAGAAACGGACCGACACAAATCTCATGAAGTTCAACAAAGGGAGATGCAAAGTCCCGTATTTGGGAAGGAATAATCCCACACACCAGTACAAGCTGGAGCCGACTAGCTAGAAAGCAGTGTCGTAGAAAAGGACCTGGGGGTCCTGGTAGACAAGTTGAATATCAGTCAGCAATGTGCCCTTGAGGCAAAGAAGGCCAACAGCACCCTGAGCTGCATTAGGCAGAGCATCCTCCACAGGTTGAGGGAGGAGGTGATCCTTCCCCTCTTCTTAGCCCTGGTGAAACACATCTGAACTGCTATGTCCAGTTCTGGGCTCCCCAGTACAAGAGGCACATGCGTATACTGGAGCGACTCCTACCCAAGGGCCACAGAGATCAAGGGATGGAGCACACGCCATGAGACAAGGGGCTGTGGTTCTGTGACACAAAATGGCACTACTGAGCATTCAAGTTAGTGAAGTTCTGTGACTAAATCCATTGAGCTCTGGTGCCCACTAAGCTAATAATTAGCTTTGCTATCTGGCATTTCCTATATTTTCAGTACTAACTCTTTACTGTAATCAATGGAAGGTAGTCTACAAGAGCATTAGGGCAGCATTTTCCATCACAAGATAACAGTCTCAATCCACAGTAAATATTTTAGAAGTCTGTTAGTAGCTCATATATTCCTTTCCTCCCCTTTTGCTGCGAACCTTCAGCTCCTAGGACATGTCTCAGAAGAATCAATACATGAAAATGGATACAACTTTTATACAACTTTATATACAGCATTTATCCTAAGAGCTTTTACCAAAAGAAGGAAGACTGCATATTTTAGCTGGCAATTCCAGCTATCCACATAGGCATTTTGAACATGCAGAAATTTACAGTACCCATGTCAAGTGAGAAACTTGCGCCTAGGTATCCTGAAGGTGCATTCATCTTGTGTGACCTGCTATGACACCACTGCATCCAAAGTCCCCCTGAGCCATCAGATGCAAGATCTACATCAAGCAGTCATTATCCATGTGGACTTTCTGCCCTTTGAAATATAAGGTTAATGTTTAGTATCATCTAGGATAGCCTTAGGCTGAATCAGTTAGGCAAACTGTGTTATACAGTAGTTGCAAAGCCAACAAGAACTGTGTTATAATGTTATCCAGCTCTCCGGCTTACTATGTGGGACAAAAAAGACAGCTTGAGCTAAAATGGAATGTGTTGCAAACAGTGTGAAACACTTAAGAAGTCCTGTCTTTAATATTAATGAGCATATGTTGTTTCTACAGCACTACAGCTGTGGCTGGTTCACTTCATAATCTGATAGGAAAAAAATATCCTAACATCTACTTGGAATGCTCAGCTGAAAGTTTCAGCTCCAAATTACACTTTTAGAGTAACACAGGCCTGTTTGGCAACAAATACAGAGATATTGAATATTATTTCCCCTCTCATCTCCATGTAAAGAAAGGGAAGAACATAAAGCATGTTTGAGGAAAGAAAGAATCCAATTTGAAACACTAAATTAATTTTATATGACAAGCAAAGAAATATGAATGGGTTAGAGCCAGTATTTTTCAATGTTCTGCTCAAGAATAGGAAAGAAAGAACAGGGGAAAAAAACACAAAGGGAAGCTGGGGGAAACTAAGTTTATCACATTCATGAAAGCATTAAAAAAACTGTGCAGTACTGTCTCACTCCATGGAAAAGTTTTTGTGTGTGGAAGACAGTTCCTTCAGTCTGGTCTGAAGTCTGTGAAAGCCAATGGAAACCCCTTTCAAAGACCAGAGCATACACTACTACTTCAGTAACAGCTAAACATGGCTGTACTTTTATTTGTGAACTCCCTTCACCAAGCACATTCCTGGCATCTTCAACACTGCTACCATAAAGTTTCTGATAACTAATGTTAGGTGGTAAAAATTATTTCTCCCTGTTTGTGTTTTTTGAGTGTTTACTATAGGAAGAGTTGGTAGTATAGCCACCAACTTAAGGTGGCTTTTAAACTTGCCAAATATTTATTTGCGAAGACTGAAAGCTTTTATGTCAGCTACACATTTCAGGGCAGATGGTGAAAGGAAGAATCGGAAATTACAGGTGAAATATTTCTCATGTATATATATTCTTTAAGAAGGAGAATCTTTAGATGAGAAATACTTTCCTCAATTTCAGGACTGCATTGTGGAAGAACTCTGCCATCACCAAACTTTGGAAAAGCAAGCAAAAGTTTGGTGTAAGGTAATCTATAAATGTGTCTTTGCTGATTCAGTGAAAACTCCTGAGCTCGGAATCCACCCACATATGTCTGAGTTAAAGGCTTTGGGGTAGAGGGTGAAAATTACAGCGGGTACATGGGGAGTCCTTTACTTAAAAGCTTTCATGCTACGTTTATCTCAAACAGCACAGTCCACTGGGTCTACAGAGCAAAATAGTTAGTGCCCAAAGCTTGGCATGTTTTCCCTCTGAATGTTTCTAGGTCTGTCTCATGTACTGAACACCCATTAGAGATCAAAGCACATCTTCTGGTTTAGTCTCTTCTGAAAGGAAGCCAGTCCATGTGCTCTACAGTTTTCCCATTATGCGAATGAAAACATCCTAAAAGGACAATTAACTCTGAAGGCACAATCCTTATCCTAACTAAAACACTAATGGAGAAGCACTCTAGGTATGCTTAATCAAGAGCCTGAAGGAATGGAGGAGGTCATTCTCTGTGCTTGTTCCTCTTACTTGTCCCTAGCAGTCCATCACCAGGTGTTGTTAATACAAGTAAGGAGAATATCTTTCTGGTACTTTTCTTTGTGCTTCACATCCTGCAAAAGACTGTCAGGGGGAGTCAATGATTTAAGCCACTTTACAGAGTTGATAGGACTCTTCTATTTTACAGAAAGAAAAAAAAAAAGTCAGATTGTTGATTTAATAAAACTTACATCTATTCAAATTACTGCAATATTTTCTTCACAATTTACAACAGAATTTGTGCAAAATTATGGTATCCAAATGCAGACTTTGCTTTCCATTCAAACAGAAGAGGACAGTGCTACAATATGATGTGTATTTTCACACACACCAGGGTTTTTAGTGGCAGCAATGGGTGAAGAGGAGCATACCAGACAAACAGTAAGGGGGACAGCAGATAAGTGGTTCTAATCCTAAGAAAATACATGATACACAACTGAACCAAATGCAAAGGCAATGGGCTGAAGACCACGCACAGGAATGAGGAAGTAATGGGAATACCAGACATATTTGATAGAAATACTGAGCTCTAGTCCTTGTTCCACACCAAGAGGCAGTAATAAAAGCATACTTAGAACAATCACACAAACTGGACCATTAAGTAGATAGAGTGAATGGTTTGGATTCACAACGTAACTGCTGACCTCCAACGTGCCCTGATTACCACTTATGGAAGATAACTCTTCTCTCCCATCCTCCCCATCACTCTAGAGACATCCTCAAGCAACCAAGCAGAAGGGAAAGAAGAGGAAGAAGCAATAATAGAAGAAACAATGAATTTGAAATGTAGGTTAAAGTTGATGGCCTTCCACAGTTTTTGAAATCAGCCATGTTTGTGCAAAGTCTACACTGCTGGAAGTGATCACTTAACATAATGGAAAAAGCAGGAGCTCTCCCTTTCCCCGCCAGGTTCATAGTTTGACAAATGAACTTTCTCATCTCCAATAAGGGAAAGGGGACAGTGAAGTAAGGACAGTGAAGTACTGCTGCTCACAACAAATGACAAGAAACTCTGAAAGTTACTTCTTAATGCATTTAATTTCTTTTGCGATGTTCTAAGAACTAGGGTATTACAAAGTGTGAGGTACACATAGCAACAGGACTAACAGGACTCCAGTTGGATCAGGTAAAAATGGGTTACAAAATATTAGGAAAAGCAATAACGAAAAATACAAACGATCTTATCAGTCACATATCAGCTGCAAATCCAAATTCTGAAACCCTTGAAAATCAGTCTCAGGAAAAGTTCACGGCTGCTCTTTCAAAAGAATGACATTCCAGTTCTAGGAGATTAAAAGTGGAGGAACCTCCCATGCCAACCCTCTACTTGATCTTCGTTGCCCGAAAGGTAATTGCATCCCTGATGCATGCACAGAGGTGACCTGGGTAACATTGCTCTCTTAGGACTTGTCACTGGGAGGTTTCTTCTTAGCTTCCACATCCTTCTTAAAATCTTCAAGCTTCTTTGCAATGTTAGGAATCTTTAAAGACAAAACCAAAAAACAAACAAACCCCACAAAAATTAACAAAAAATCC